TGGTTGGTTGGTTGGTTGGTTCAGGGCAGTTTAGGCTTAGTGCTCAGGGTTTAGGGAGTTGAGGGTTTGGAGCAAGGTCATACCAATGAGATCACCAATGCACCGGCTTGGAACCGAAAAAGACCGTGCTATAGAAGCCTTCATCATCCATTGGGTTTGTAAGGAACTGCACTACTACGTACTACTAATGATTCGATTCCCAATTCAGGTCCCTAAACCCCAAACACTCAGACCCTCGAACCAAGACGCCAACCCGCGAAACCCCCAACACCCAAACCCTAAACCAGGCTTCCGGGCGCGTCCGCCAGCAGGTAAACGAAGCATCCAGTGTCGCCTCGGTCGCGGAACAATCGTTCACCCTCAACCCTAAACACCTAAACNNAACCCTAAACCCTGATCCTCATGAACTTAGGGTTCAGGGTGTAGGGTCTATGGGTGTAAGATCCTCCTAGACCGTAAACCTCGGTGACCGAATGACCCTTGCAAGCATGGGCCCTATGCCTATACCGTTGCTCTATGAACCCCTTTTCGGTAAAGGTACCTTAAACCCTTTTAGGGTTGATCTCGTCCCTAAGGAAAGCCACAACTTTGTAGGGGGATACGTCTTCTGAATGCCTAACGCCCTTGTCCTTCAAGAGCTAGGTTTTCGTGGGGTGAGGGCAGCGTTTAGGGCTCGGCCTGTCTCAAATGCTCAAAAAAAAACAACAATGCTAGAGGTTTCACCTTAATCCCTAATAGCCTACCGTTTCCTATGTACCCTAAACCTTAAACATCCTTGAACCCAAAACCCTGAAAGTAGATCATAATAAGAAGCCTTAAACAGGTAGAAGATGTGGGGTTAAGGTAACTGGGGCTTACAGATTTCCAAGGTTAGAAGTATGGGCCNNATTTTGGACCCTTAGGCCTTTCTAGGGACCCTTAAGAGTACCTTTAGGGTATATAGTAGGTATATGAGCTTTCTAGGGACCCTTAAGAGTACATATAGGGTATATGGTAGGTACATGAGGATCCCACCCTTAAGGGCCCATACCCTAAACCCTAAACCCTAAACCCTAAACCCTAAACCCTAAACCCTAAACCCCTAAACCCTAAACCCTAAACCCTAAGAAGATTGAAGCCTTAACCCAAGAAGGACCGGGTCTCTAGGTGTCCACTGTTCCGGGCCAGCCATCAATTCCTCCGAGACACTAGGGTTTAGGGTTTAGGGTTTAGGGGTTTAGGGTTTAGGGTTTAGGGGTTTAGGGTTTAGGGTTTAGGAGTTTAGGGTTTAGGGTTTAGGGACATTGTGAACTCTATAGTGAGGTATTCTCTCGCGCAACGTTGACGGACTCTCTGACTAGTTGACTTAGGGTTAGATTTTAGGCTGAGGGTTGACAACAGCCATCCTGAACCATCCTAAACACCCTGAAGCCTAAAGACTAAACCCCAAAGCAACATCTTAAATGCTGTGTAATCGTAGACTTCCAGCTCGAACCCCTCGAAGCAATTGCCCATCATCCTAGGCAGCGGCTTGGGGAGGTAGTAAAAGTATTTTGCATAAGTGTTTATGGTTCAGGGTTTAAGTAGGTAGCCCCAATCGGGGTGCTCATAACCCGCCGAAATCCGAACAAATGCCTTGCTATGGCCCATGATCCCCAAATAAACTGGACAGGTACGGTGAGCCCCTTACTCTCTTCTTCAACAACCAGGCCCAACAAGGTGCAAACTTATTAGGAGATATATATATATATATATGGCCGAAAAGTCTAAAAACATCATTAAAGTTCTCCCATTGAGGACCTATGTTTATAACCTAAAAAATCATCTCATAAGGCCTTGGGATTGTATAACGAACATGAACCTTGTGCCATTTCGGAAGCCCTCAACCGTAAACTCCTAAACCCTAGAGGCCAGGAAGCGAGGAAGTCAAAACGCCCCGAAACCCCTAAACCCTCAAAGGTTTAGGGTTTAGGGTTTTAGGGTTTAGGGCTTATAGGGCCTAAATAAACCCCAAAACCCTTAACCCGTAAACCTTAAACCCTCGTCCATTAAAGGGCTTAAGGGTCGAGCGCTTTTTCAGACACGGAGGCTCGGGTTTCAAGGGTGTGGGGTTCAGTTTGCTTTTTGGTGTGGACTTTTGGTTTAGGGCTTAGTTTAGGGTTTAGGGTCTAGGGTTTAGTGTTTGCGGTTCAGGGTGTGGGCTTGAGGGGTTGGTTACTAAGGTTTGCAAGCGTTTAGGGTTTAGGGTTTAGGGTTTAGGGTTTAGGGTATGGACGTTGCGCTCCTTTCTTGTTGGAGCGTATGCGCTCAAATCGCTCTTTACTTTACTTAGCCTTCAGCACTAAACCAGGCGGAACCTTAGACACCTCGATCCTTTGACACCCAAAACAGGAGGATGCCAACACTTTCATCCTAACCCATACTATACATTCACACCGGGACCAGCATAAACTAGATGCAGGCATGAACCTTTGTAAGACTTGTGGTAAAGAACCCTGATCAGACGATGGCTTCCTATGTAACTCCTAGACCCCTAAACCCTGAACCCTGAACCCTAAATTCTGACCCCTAAACCCTGAACCCTGAACCCTAAACCCTAAATTCTGAACCCTAAACCCTGAACCCTAAACCCTAAACCCTGAACCCCAAACTGCGTTATCCGGCGTCCTCCTTCGGATTTACCCAGGCAAACTCGCAGGCGCCCTGCAGGCGATCCAGGAGCTATGCAGGAACTTAGGCAATTTTTTTGGGGGTTAGGGTTTGCAAGCGGGTAGCACGCTGTCCTGTAACCCAAGCTGAGTAACGTCAAAGAGCTTGCCAAAGCAGAAGCGCTGCAGACGGCGATGCGGTCTGGGTCTTTTCTGCTATCCCCGGCAGTATCTCTTGATCAGTAAAGCTGCATACACGCGATAGAGTGGGAGCAGCAGAGTGTATTACACTTGCATGCCCCCTTCCCGGCTCGGAATTTCAGGAAATCTCCTTTGAAACATTTGACTCAGTAAGCTGTTCTCGACTATTCGCCAGTGGATCCAGTCCCTCTGCTTTCCGTCGACGAGCTGAGCGCATCTCCTCGTCCTCCACGATGCGCCACTGGTAGCCCATCTTGTAGAAGAGAGACAGTTCATGGCTGGCTCCTTGTTTGGTGAGGCTATTGGCTAATTGAGCCTCTGAGTGTACCCAGCGGATATGCAAACCTGTGCGGTTCTGTGAGTCCTTCAGGGCCAACAGTTCGATGTTGGCTCGCTTCTCTGCCCCTTTCAGAGTGACAACTTCTGTAGCAAGCTTGTCATACACATTCCTAGAATCAGTGACAATGACTCCCGTCACCAAGCCTACAGTGTCATCAGGCTTTCTAACATCCACCTGACCATGGAGCATTTCTCCCCATTGAAATCTGGTTAGATAGAGAATGTCTTCTCCATCCACAGCTGCTTGGGATTCAGCAGCTCCTGGGCTTCGGCAGGCGCGTCCTATCTTGTTCGAGTGCCAAGCCACAACAGTAACTTTTCCGACCTCGCCTTGAAGCATAGCCCTGGAACCTATCCCAACCAGAATCCCTTGCGTGCTCCCTCCATCAGACCTGTTCTGGCTAGAGGCGTCAACCCAAGCAAGCATACACAACTCTTCAGCAGGATGAAACTTGTGCACAATCAGCTCATGGTTCTTCTGAGCCCTGACCATATTCAGTAGTTGGTTAGCATCCATGATCGTGGAAACTGTGCTTTGAGCCACTTCGGACAACAACAAGCTGACTGGGGCTGAGAAATGCGGAGATACCTGTTGAGCATGCCAGCTGATGGCTCCTAAGAGCGCTCTCAACTGGGACTTCTCGCGATCCGTGGTCGTTTGATGCTTGTCTCGTCTCCTCTGCGAGCTGAGGGGAATCTCTCGGATGGTGTCGACATACTTGGCTTGAGAAAGCTTAAACCCTTCTTCGCATTGCTCGATTTGCACCCCACACTGCACGAAACGATCGCTCTCCCAGTCGCCCCACTTGAACTTCTCTTTGATCTGTTGGAGGATGTCTTGCCAGCCTTGATCTTGCTTGGAGCCTCCAAATAGAAAATCATCTACATGACCTGATATGCAACCACGCAGGACTCCTTCGGGTCTCCACATCCAGAGACATGGGTCTGACCATGATCGTTCCAATCCTATTGAGGCGAAGTACTCTGCAATGGTCCTATACCACTCCAGTGGTGCATCCACTAAGCCATAGCAAGCTTTGCGCAACTTGGTGATGCTTCCTCTCTCGATGCCCATAGCATCACACACCTCGTCGCACGGAATGCAGAACAGCTTATCCGGATACGGTCGGCCTTGCAAGAAAGCTCCGGTCACATCTCCTTTATGGACTTGCCAAGATTGGTTGGCTGACAGTTGGAGGAATAACTGACGTGACAACCGAGTCATCACGGGAGCGGTGGTCGCTCGGTGTTCGTAGCTAGCATCTTGGTAGCCAAGAAGTATAGCACGGGCTTTTGGTTTCACCGTGCCGTCGTCACGCACCTTCCAGGTGAGCAGCCACCTCATACCGATTGCAGTCTCCTTAGGTGGTCGAAGATGAGGAGGAATTGCCTCGAAGGCTTCGGCTGCTATGAAATTGCGGACCTCCACTCCTTTTGCCTCTCCAAAAGCACGACGATCTTCGTCACTCAAGCGTTTCTCACTCACTTCCACGGCACGCCTCCTAAGGTTACTTACCAAGTAAGCTGACATGTCGGTGCACATGGCCTGATGACCCTTCCTACTCTCCGGCATGGGGACCTCAATCTCGATGGCTGCATCTTGTTCAGCCCAGTAGGCCTTCTCGGTACCGTAAGCTCTCTCGGGTACGGAAGTCCACCAGGCCTCGGCGTTGAAACTACTCTCGGCAGCCTGCGCTCGAGCGCTCCTTGTGGGGCGTGAGGATTGTGAGGGTTCAGGCGCGGCTGTGTCCATTTCCTCGGGGTCAACACCTATGGGGTTGGGGCGCTTCCTACGCAACCGAAGACGAGGTGGGACCTCTTCACGTCCGGGATCTTGCGCCCGATGCCACTCCTCTGTGTCGGGCTTTTCCATGGACACATCTTCATACTGATTCCCTCCTATTTCTTCAACTACCCGGTTGTAAGTCCATGGGGTGCCGCCTTCAGGGGTATCCTTGGCCAAAGCTTCTAAGAGCTCCTCCCGTTCAGACGCCCTCCGAATCTGTTCCGGACAACACTTCAACAGCGTCCTTCCCCGAACAACCCACACCGCAGACCCCGGTCTCAAATGACCCTCAACATCCCTCCTAGTCTCGGTGGCCAAAATCCTCGCAGGACCTAAAAACCTTCCGTGTTTCCCTCCAGGTTGCCGCCTGCTCTTCCCGCTTTCCTGGGTCCTCCAGAAATAAATCAGCTCTCCCGGTTGGAAGTCATACACAGGTCTACTTCTCGAATTGAGGGCCCTATTAATCCTTTGTTGAGCAACCCAGTCACACAACGCCTTTTCAGCAGAAGATCTAGCTCTTACCGAACGCTCAAAGTCTTGATCAGCACTCTCCACAAGAGCCTCGTCGGGGACCTGGTCCTCTCTCTGAATCAATCTGCCCGTGACATCCGGATTTCTACCAAACGCATGTTGGATGGGAGAGAAACCCCGAATCTGTTCTCGGCTGTTAAAGGTGTGAATAGCAGTAGATAAGGCTTCTTCCGCAGTCATGTCAGGGTGATCGCTACAGATCTTTTCCATAACCTGCTTAGTTCCCTTGACAGCTTGTTCACACACTCCGATATGCCAATGAGCATCCGCAGGAATCAAATCCAGGTAGATAGAGTGCCGATCACAAAACTCCTGAACTTGTTGACTCCGAAAAGCACCGGCCGGATCCAACCGCAAAGCCCCTGGCCAACCAAAGATCTGAACCCAGCCCTCCCGCAAATATGACAAACATGTGGCGGCGTTGGGCTGTTGTTTGCTTCCTCTACTCAGGATGCGTCCTACTCGGAACCTCGAACCTTCATCAATGATCAGCATGAACTGAATATGTTCCCCACTTCGAGGGTGAACCCAGTGTCCTATGTCCGCAGAGATAGTTTGCCACTTCGGTGGAAGGGTTTCTAAGGAGGACAGGTTCCGGGGTGGGGTTTGTTGTCGTTCTTGGCACACTGAACATTTGAACTGCTTTGCCAGTTCCAACACCTGGGGACTCGCGTTTCTTCGCTTGAGGGCCTCTATCATCAGTCGATTGCTTCCATGCCCTGTAGCCGAATGAAGGAGATACAACTGTTTCTTGATTTGGTTCTCCACCTTCTTCTTCTGAGCCTCTTCTCCTACCAAGGCCTCGGGCTTACCCTCAACCATCAAACCCTGATCTCTGTCCCTCTTATCCGGAATGCCCGACAACTCAAAACCCAATCCCTGAAGATCCTTCCGAACTCCCTGAGACACCTGATGAATCCCCCGAGACACGTAGGAAGTAAGAGCTATTCGACATCCGGTCCAAGCCTTTGTTTCATGCCACCGCCCTGGTTTAAACCGAACCACTTTGTGCCTAGTCTCATGAACCTGGCCTGTGCACTGTTTGCCATTGGGCAGTGTACGACTTTGTACTGATTGACTAGGGACCTGGGAGTGCGAGTCCTGCTGCACCCACAACCCTCCTCCAGTGTACTCTCCAAGACCGAGAAGACAGTTGTCACAATCTTGGTCGTTATGTCTGTCAGTATGCAGGGGAAGTTGGTTGTTGATGCTAACTACCAGCGAGGTCCTAGGCAAAAGCTCGGGATTGGCTTTGGTGAGGACTTTGTTCAAGTACTGGGTCACCTGAGGAAAGAGCCATGATCGCTTAGTCGTGCCATACATGTTGCCGTAGGAATACAAGCCAAGCACCAAATACACCGAACGTCTATCCCCCACCATCTTCCTATGCTTTGCGATCGGTGCCAGCGGCAGTTGTTGAATCAGTTGTTCACAATCCTTGTAGGAAAAACGGTTCTCATGGGTCAACTGTTCGGCTAAGGCTTCCACCTGTTGTCTTTGTTCGTGACTAATCAGAGCCTCGTATTCAGCTTCCGTGATTATCCCTTGCAAAGTTTCCAGTTCCTGGGCCTGTAAATCCACAACAGGTTGGGTCGTTTCAGATTGCTTGTGGCTCTCCAGACTTTGTTGTAAGCTACACACACCGCAGGGGACTTGAGCCTCATGGGTCCTTGTTTCCGCACATCTACACACCGGACCCTCTCCAAATCCCTCAAGAAGGCAACTCTCCCCTCGAACCTCCTGAAGCACCTGAGAATGACTCTGTTCTTGAACAATCACCTGTGCAACTCTTTTGGCAAGTTCCGGGGTATAGAAACTACTCCGACTAGCCTCCACCCCTTCACATCTTCCATGGACATACTTCACATCACAGCTACATGGCAAATCAAGCTTCTCGGCCATACGCTTACACGTAGTCACAATTCGCCACCCTTTGCGCAACAGAAGATTGTCCTTGGAATGGCGCAAGTTCACTCTACAACCCTTGACCACAGCGGAATGAAGGTTACACTTCTTAATCAATCTTTGGATAATGGGCAATCGCCAAGCATTGCTGTGCTCGGCCCATTCCCAGGTGAAATGAATTCCCATCTGCCAGCAAGCATGAGCCACACTCACAGCCCCTAGATACACTTTGAGGGCTTGTCGGCGCTTCTCTCTCAACTCATCACACTGTTGCGCAGACCGTTGGTTCACATTCTGCAGAGGGGAATAGGGACCGCAAGGAGGGCTTATCCACACATGTCGGGGCCTTTCATGCTGCAAACGCTTCATGACATGTGCCACACCTTCAGCGGTACTCAAGTCACAACTGTTCCATGCTGCGCAACGACTGGCTGCTTTTTCACTCTGACACATCTCTTGCACAGTAGCTGCCAATACGCTGTCCGGGGCACAGGCGACTTCCATGAGCGCTGGTCGCTCATGAGCCACCAAGCCTTCAAAAATCCGCGGAATCACCTCATACGATTCTTGTTCCATACTACGGGCTCGCCCTAAGCTCAGTTGTTGACTCAGCCTTTGCGATGCACTCCTGGGTTCCGCCCTGTCATTCGTCTCGTTGTCACTCTCTAGTGACCCCTCGGTTTGGTCACCATCGTGAAGCTCTGTAGCGAAGTGGTCTCGTTGTCCTCGGTGGCCCCTTTCTTGCGGGGGCGCTCCTCCTTCAGGTGGGACACCTCCTCCTGCAAGGTCTTCATGGTCTCGAGGATCTCCTGGAGCTGCGTGCTGGCCATGGTCACACGCCCTCCACTGTACGAAGACGCTGCTGGGCTGCTGGCTTTTGGATAGCCGGCTGCTCGTGGACTTGGCGGCGGCTCGGGGTGGCTCTGGAGGTTCACCGCCTTGTGCTCGGAGACATTCTTCTGGTAGTCCTTGCGGGACTTGTCGATCTCCTTCGGGTTGTTCGTCAGCCAACCGGCCAATCTCCAACTGCAGTATTGGGGGTGGGCCTCCCGGATCTCCTCGTAGCTCAAGCTTCCGTGACGGCCGAAACCCACAGCATCTGTGGGGTCCGGCTTGGCTTTGTCGTACACACGCTGCATGGCCTCCCGTTGAATTTGGGCAATGGTCAAGTTGCCCCCGGCCGTATAGCCCAGCTCCTTCTGGCAGAACTCCACCAAATCCGCCTTGCGGCGACTGGCACGATTCAAACCCTGGACCATCTGTTGGTACTCGGACTTCTCCTTCTTGTCCTTGGCCGTTGTGCTGGTGTTCTCGCCGGTGAGTTCCTCGATCCGCTGGAGTAGCTCGACTCGTGCCCAGCGCTTGGGCGGATCTTCGCCCATGGCCTCCAACTTCTCGCGCAGCTCGCGCACCTTGACGCTCGACATGTTGCACGGCTTCGGACTTGGCTACGGACAATTGCTGTGAGCCTTCACGCTGTTCAGCAGGATCACCGGGTGCAGTTGACTGTCGCGAACTCAGCAATCTCTGCTCATGGTCCGTCGTGCTCACTGAGTCAAATTGCTGCCTACCTATCTCACCATCACTCTCACTTCTACTTTCCTGAAATTCCTTGCCTATGTGCTGCACGGCAGTAAGAACATGCCCTACTCCGTGATGAAACCCCATTCCTGAACTGTACACACAGCCCTTCCCTTTCTCGTCAGGATTCGATCCGGGAAGGAGTTGTCCCTACTCTTCGGCAGGGTCTGCTTTCAAAAAGTCACTCAGCATCGGGATGTCCTTGTCTACCGTACTGGAGTTCTCGTACAGGTCCTTGGCCAACGACATCACCTGGTGTCCTGTCGCGGACCGCTCAAGCTTGATGATCTTCCGCTTGTCTAGCTTGCCCAACACCATCAGGTCATTGGCGAAGTCGATCTGTGCTCCTAATCGTCGGAGTGCGTCAATGGACAAGAGCACCGGGCCTTGCCCCTTGTCCAAGGCGTGGATCTTCATTTGGCCTGGGTGGCCTTGAGCTGTCAAGGCCATCGTCACCGTGGACAGGCATCGGTCGGAGCTGGAGTTCCCGAAGCCGAAGGTGGGCCGTTCACTGTGATCCACCCGATGAACATCAGAAGTGCCCTTGGCTCGCAAGTTGCAAGCCATCAAACACTCCAGTGCATACGTAGAGCCCAAACTCTTTGTAGCCCCTGAATCAATGACGCACTTCCCTTGATCCACAGCCTCCGAGGTGGTCACCGTGGGGTAGCTGCTCCAAGCTTCCTCGGTCTCGGCCACGTCGGCGTACATGACAAACGGCGCTTCCTCCTGGTTGGCGAGATGGGCCGCTGCTTTGGGTGGATTTGGGCAGTTCGCTGCCCTGTGGCCCACTTTCCCGCAGGCTAAGCATGTCATACCGCTGTCATCCCGTGGTCTGGCTCCTTGGTTCGAGGAGCCTGGTCGGGAGTTGTGGCCTCGGTAGTACTGGCGGTTCATTTTCACCGTGTGCTGCTTCGCCCTGGCATCTCGCAAGGTGCGCCGTGCTCCTTGGAGCACCGCCATGGCTCGCTCCATCTCTTCCTGTGCTGACGTCCACATAGCAAACCCTTCATCGGTGAGCGTGGCCTCCGCGGTCATCCCGAACTCGGTATCCGGGTACTCCTCGGCCTCGTCATCCTCGTCGCCGACACATTCTCCCAGAAGTCCATGTTGACGTCGACCTTGGTCTCGACGTCGGAGATCTCCTTCTGGAAACTGTGCCCGCAATGCCTGCGAGATGGAGGCAACGCTGTAGTTGTCTCCGGCTGCAGTCTGGATCAGGTTCCGCTCTTGCTGGTCCAGGCTGGCATCATGGAGCAAAATCCAACCCTGGACGAAGTCCGGTAACAGCTCCGGCAAAACGGCCTGCTTTCCCGAGCTGTTCGTAGTTCCCCAACTCCAGTTGGACCAGGTATCGGGGTTCCACTGGTCTTGCCAAGAACCATACCAGGACCAACTTCCCCGGCTCCACGTCGACTCTGGCCAAGCGGCCGTGCTGGCCGTGTCCGTGGGGGCATTCTGAGTGTCGTCCTCGTCGGGCTCCGGTTGGGAGTCTATAGAGGTTCTTCGGCTCCATCCATAGTTGGAGTACCCGCCGGAGTGGTAGCTACCATCCGGTACAGCGCGGGCCTTGTTTCCCGTCTGATGTGGTAGCACTCGTTGAAGAGCTTGTTGAGCACGAAGATAAATCTCGTTCTTCCGGGCCAGGTACTCGTTAATCGACTCTCCGGTCTTCCGGCGGCTGCTGGCCTTGAAGTAGCGGTTCAGATGCTCAGTCACTTCCACAATCCTGGGCTGTCCTAGGCCTTGGCGTAGATGTTCTAACAACTTCTCCACACCACCGTAGTAGGACAACCAGTCGGCGGGTTGCCCGGTGACATACCTTTTGGCTGCCCCGGTGAGCTCTGCCGCTATCCTTGGCCCAGCTTGTGCACGCTTGTGCGGGGCCACTGACTGCTCATACAGTCTCGCTGCCTCCGCGAACTCCGTGTACGTAGCTGGATCTCCATCCCGCAAGGGTACCCCGTCCTTGGTTCTCGTAGACGGCGCTGTTCCCGCTGACATATCACCTTCGGTCGCACGGAAGGTGATCTGTTCTAGGTCCCTGGATCTTCAGCCTCACTTCTTGGAGCAAGGCTCCGCTACCATGCAAGCGGGTAGCACGCTGTCCTGTAACCCAAGCTGAGTAACGTCAAAGAGCTTGCCAAAGCAGAAGCGCTGCAGACGGCGATGCGGTCTGGGTCTTTTCTGCTATCCCCGGCAGTATCTCTTGATCAGTAAAGCTGCATACACGCGATAGAGTGGGAGCAGCAGAGTGTATTACACTTGCAGGGTTTAGGGTTTAGGGTCTGAGGGTCCGAGGGCTTGAGGCTTGCCTGATGTAGGGGCCTTAGATATTGGAATAGGGTTTTGGGGTATGTTGTACTACCCCAAAATAGTAGTGGTGATTCCACAGCTAACGGCGCGTGAGATTCGATTTGAGATCCTTCGAGGGGCTATAGTAATTGCAAGATCTATTTGTGTGCGGGAAGGGTTTAGGATTTGGGTTTAGGGTTTAGGGTTTAGGGTTTAGGGTTTAGGGTTTAGGGAATAGATCTCTACGAGGAGGTACGCAACTCACGAGCTCACAAGTCGGCGCTAAGCAGATCCAAGCAACCCAGGCAGGCCGCCTGGCATGTCCCTGACCCCTGGCAATGAAAAGAGGGTTTAGGGTTAGTTTAGGGTTTAGGGTCCCTGGAATGACCCTAAGGGTCCATGTACTCATATAGTATATACATTGGCCTTAATGTAGTCCCTATAGAGGTACTTTAGGGCCCATGTATATGCTATGAGCACATGGACCCTTAGGGTGAAAAAAGGGGTGCCGCGCGCTTGCTCTGCAAGTCGGGATACCTTGCTGTCAGCGTGCGGCTGATGCATCGTTTGTCAGCTCTTAGAGCTGATGTTTCATGTTGGCTAAGCAAGTCCCTAAGGGTCCATGTACTCAGAGAGCATATACATGGGCCCTAAAGTACCTATATAGGGACTACATTAAGGCCAATGTATATACTACAGGGGTACATGGACCCTTAGGGAGTCCTTTAAGCCATGCGGTCAGTGTAGATTCTGGCCGTACTTACCACCACCTTTCAAAAAAGAGAGAGCGTTTGCACGCAGTGGTCTTGCTCTTGGCGCGACGTCAGGGGTTGGTTCTCCCTGTTGTGTTCAGGGTCCGGACTCGGTAGGATCCCGCGGGTCGAACCGGAGGGAACCGGAGGGGCGAAAGGAGGGATCCGATAGAGTCTTTGTTTAAGTTGACTTGTGCCTGTGTGTGTGCATGCCGTTGCTCCTGTCTGGCGTGTGAGCATGCATGTTGCAGGGAGGCTCGTCTTTGCAGTGTCATGTTTTGGTAGGTGGTGGTTTGCAGATGTGGTCGTGTGCCGCAAAGCCAAGCTAGGCTTAGCAGTCTTTGGGCAGTGCGAAGTGACTGGACAGTGCGGCATGTTCGTACTTCAAGCTGTGTAGCTGAAACCCTAAAACCTAAACCCCTAAAGCCCTAAACCCCTAAACCCTAAACCCCTAAACCCTAAACCCTAAACCCCTAAGCCCTAAAGGTGTGTAGACCGGGAGCAGAGCGCGGGAACCGCCCTGATTTTCGCTCTCCCGCCCGCCCTTGCCCGATCGAAAATCTGAGCAGGAGTCATCGTTTGTCAGCGAGAGGCTGCTATATTCCCTAGACCGCGCAACTAACCTTTATCATACCCCAAATACCCACTAGCTAGCAAGAGCTCTACTAGGGCTAAACCCTAAACCCTAAACCGAGTTAGGCTTTCGGGATCTTTAGGGGCTCCGATGTTAGATCAAAGTCACAAGTTTCAGATTCAGCTGGTGGGTGTTGGGCCCGGTTTGACAACAAAGCTTTGAGGACGGTTTCTGAAATGTAGCGGTTCCTTGTTGGGGGGTTCTTTGCAAGACGGGGTCCTACTGGGGAGGGGGGGGGGGGAGCGATACTGAGAAACTCCCATGACAGAGATCATGTAGGGGTTTAACGGTATTAACGAAAGTTAACGGCTCCAAAAATCCAACCTCCATCCTAAACCCTAAACCCTAAGGTCCCGCTTTATGTAGGAGCCTGGCTGATTCGCGTAGTGTAGGGCTTTCTGGGGAGACATTGTACTTTAGGTGCAGGAGGACAATATTACGGTTGAGGGTTTTGGGTTTAGGGTTTGGCGTTTTTTAGGTTTTAGGGTGATCATGAGGTTCCCAGAGCCATGAAATTGAACCCGCCTCCCGAAGCAGCGAAGGCAGGGTGACCGGTTGGAACCTGCGGCGCTGGTGAACTTAGGCCAAGACCACGGTAAGGATGGTCGCGGGGCCCTAAACCCTAAACCCCTAAACCCTATGGCCCAACTCCATAATCGTAGCATACAAGGATTCTCTGACAGGTCCTAGTATCACGGTAAAGCCCCTTTTCTGAATGTGGTTTTAGGGGTTTAGGGCTAAGGGCCCGTTCACAACATTGGCCACAGGCGATTCAATCCGGTGCAAAGCAGCCCGAGAGTGCACCAAGATGTTGGACCTGAAGCCGAATGTCTGCAGTCTAGGACTTTAGGGTTTAGGGTTTAAGGGCTTATGATTTAGGGTTTATATAGGGTTCAGGGTTTCAAGTTTAGGGCTTTTAGGAACCTGATATATTAATTCTATTTTGTTTCTGCTTCCCGAGTATATTGGCAACGCGCAGCCCCATTTCTCCCTCAACAAGAAAAACAACAGTCCAATATTCTGGGGGCTCTACCCTAAGAACCCAAAAGTAGGTTCTTACTATAAACCCTAATACGGGATTTATAGGGACCCTACAAAAAAGTAGATTTTGGGTTCTGAAGGTACAGTATATCAATCCGCCAGTCTGGCCTCCCCGCAGTCTTCAACACGTCGGTGTAGGCCTGGAAAACTGGTGCAGCTAAGTGCTATCACCAAGGTTCAGAGTTATCCGAATGCCTCTAGTTTCCAAAACCTAGACCCCCATCACCCCAAAACCAAGCGTTCTTAAAGGAATATTGCCTAAGACCATAGTATGAAGCCCCTTATCACTTTGTTGGTCTATTCCTCAATTTAAGGGGGAATCGGGTTCTCTCACTCTAGGTAGTAAGAAGGCAGCTAAAACCCTAAACCCTAAACCCTAAACCGAGCTTCCTAGCCTTTTGGTCGGAGGTTTCCGGCTCACAGCTTAAGTTTGCTTCCCATCACGGTTCATTTGGGGGTTTAGGGTTTAGGGTTTTAGGGTTTAGGGTTTAGGGTTGAGGGTTCAGGGGCTTGGGTTTAGGGCTTGAGGGATTCGGGTTCCGGGTTTAGGGCTTACAGGGCCTAGGGTTCAGGGCTTGGGGTTCAGATTTTAGGGCGTAGGGTCTGTTTCCATATATTTGGAGGGCAATGTGGCTAAGACATGACAAGGACAGCAAGAATCAGCACTGTTGATACTCCGACACCCTAGATTTGATCCCTAAACCCTAAACCCTAAACCCTAGACCCTAAACCTACCAGACCCTAGGAGCCCAAAGCTCGAAACCCTAAAACCCTAAACCCTAAGCTAAGAGCATCAACCCCGAACCTTCCCAAGCCCGAAGCCCGAAGCCATGGCCTGGGTTTAGGGTTTAGGGTTTAGGGTTTAGGGTTTAGGGTTTAGGGTTTAGGGTTTAGGGTTTAGGGCCTAAACCTCGGTTCAATGTGAGCAAGATCGATGCTGAGCTCTGACTCATTGGAAAGACCCAAACACACGGAACGGAACCCCCTGACGCCCCTCAAATTCGGGCCTAGAATCGAGTTCACGGCATGTGATGAGCCGCAACCCACCGAAAAGAGACCCTATCAAATCGCCGGCTCTGAATATTTCAACCCTGAACCCTACTTACTTCTAGACCCTAAACCCTATACCCTATACCTTCAACGCTCAAACCCTGAACCTTCCACCTTACAAAAGCCGCCAAAGCGAAAACGTCAGCTCGAAAGCCCAAAGGAACGCCTTGAGCCCGTAGTCCCGTCTAAGGCCCACGCCCGGAGCCCCTAAAATCCCCAAAGTTCTTCGAACAAACTAAGGCCCCAAACGCCCTAAGACCCCACCCTAAAGAAAGAAGGATCTGGTATTCCTAAACCCCAAACCTCTAAACCCTGAAACCAAAACCCCTAAACTTTACAGGGTTTAGGGTTGTAGGGTTTAGGGTTTAGGGTTCCCTAAACCCACCAACAGCTGACGCGCCTCACGCCACTTCCTCGGTTCGCCGAAGCTCAGTTTCCCGAGGTTTGTGTCCACCGTCACGGCCTTTAGGGTTTAGGGTTTAGGGTTTAGGGTTTAGGGTTTAATCGCAGTTAGGGCAGGGTCTTGAGGGTATAGCACGGGATGATAAGGGGTACTATTCAGTAATTCTACGGGCATCTATGTTCGGCTCCCCAAAGAGTTTCGGGCTTAGATTTCAGGCTTAGTTTCAATGTATTGCCTTTGGGGGTTGTCATAGCAAATGCTTGTCGCACGCTCACCCGTACTTTAGGTCTAGGGATTCGTGGACGAGCCCGTCAATCCGCAGTTGTGTAACAGCTTCAGGAACCAAGGCTGGCAAGACAAACCACTAAATATCTTGTTTGTTGCTGTTCAAGGAGATCATGTCTGATGTTTTCGCTTCAGCTCTGATTACTTCTGGACCCTCCCCCCAAAATATTGAGCCTGCCGGCCTGAGTGACAGACCGCCTTCTGAAAACCATCCACAAGAAGACCCTAAACCCGAAAACCCTTAAGCCTGAGATTAAATCACTAATTCCTAAAGCCCGAACCCTAAACCCTCAACAACCGAAAACGAAACCTAAGCCCAAATGGAACTCGAACCTTTCTGTACCTTATACCCAAACCCTTTCACACTAAACCCCAAACCCTAAAACCCTAAACTTTTAAACCCAAAATCCTAAACTAAACCCCAAACCCTAAAACCCTAAACTTTTAAACCCCAAATCCTAAACTAAACCCCAAACCCTAAAACCCTAAACTTTTAAACCCAAAATCTTAAACTAAACCCGGCCTGTGCTGCTACCACTTTGCG